AAAGATCAATAAGTGTATGTATGCTTTTCATTTGAAACATTAATCCAACGCTTTAGTACTTATTTGAGTAGTCACGTGTAAGAGTCGGAGAAGGTTTGGTTTGAATTACCTCAGGAAACACACCTGCTGCTTGTCCACTTTGTGTGATTGGGTAATAAAATATTGACTTATGACTGAGCATTGAGAATGACGAACTACTGTAGTACCGCTCCTAAATGGACGTACATACTTTATCTCTGTCAAATAAAGCAGTATTTTATTACATAATATTATCAACAAGCTCAAAAATATGACGTAGATCCCTCAGGCTAAAACAGTCAAACAGTGTCTGTAGATAAAGCCCAGACTAACCCAGCTCATTTCTGAACTAGATCAAAACCCAAATAAAATGGTCTTGGGTTTATTTCAATCTATTAGTCAGTAGTAAAAGACTTGATGATAAATGGGTCTTTACTGAGTTGGGTCTAGTCCAGTTTTATCCAAAGACTCTGCTCCATAAACCAGTCCGTCCTGTTGAGTTAGTTTTGATTGTCGGCCGTCTGTCGTCTTTAGCGACGACCTCTCACTCTGCTGTACCAGCTTTGCCACAACACTAATATTACAATCTCTTTTCTGGAGAAATAGACCCGAGACCAGATTTAGTAACCACGGTTATAATCTTTAAAAAAATAGGACCGAGCTGCATTTTATTTTACAACATTTTAGTTCTTTTTATTGGTACCACAAAGTTTTATATTAGTTCTGAAAAGAACAGTATTGATACATTCATTTAGATAGGGTTAGGGTTACCTTTTGACAACCTGACATTCATCTGCAACTTCTACTAGTGCTGCTTCTGCTTTGAGCTGAGATATTATTATTATTTACCATTTTCTTTGGATGAGAAGGTGTATATGTGAGTGTTTTCCATCCGCCCAATTTTTTTCAGTGCATCTGTCATTTTGTATTCAGTCTCTCTTATGCGAGAAATGCATAATTGTGCTGTGACTTTAAAAGACTAGTCAGAAATTAGTTTTGACCATTTTGTTGACAGGTGCCTGTCTTCACTGTGATAAAAAGCCTACACGGATCTAAAAACTCTCCAACCTTTAAGTCTGTAGACTCCAAAAACAGCTAACCCTGTAATTCAGGAATAGTCTTGTGAGAGAGCTATAGTGGTCCAAGTTGGATATAGCTCTAATATATACTTTGTTTAGTAATGATTTAGACCAGATTTAGTATTTAGGCTTGTTTGTTTATCAGCTTTCCCTCCTCTCTGAAGGCTGGCAGTGGGACCAGTGATGTAATGCATCTCCTTTTCTTCCTCCGTGCTCCCATCAGCACTGTTCATTTTATTAGCAGCCGTCCTTCCTCTGCGTCACTGAAGTAAAATCATTTTCCTCTGGGCAGTGGCAGACAGCGGCTCAGCAGCTCGGTCTGATGCAAGTTCAGGCTAAGGCAGTGACAGAACAGCTGTAGTCATCCCCAGGGCTCTGTCTGTTATGTTACTTAGCAGTTTGTTTATTCCCACAATGGAAAGATATGTGGCCCGTCTGTCTGCGAGAAGTCAATGTTCTGTCATATGGATTTTTCTGTTTTGTGCAGTTACTGTATATCTGTATATGGTATCGTGGTGGGATATACAGAATTGCATCATATCGTGACTTATGTATTGTGTATTGTGTGTGTACGTAAATATCACCAAATACAAGGCAATGCATATATATATATATATATTCGAGTGTGTGTTCACAGTTAAGTGTCAATTGAAGTATCTCGACTTTAAAAGGTTATAACTTAAAAACTAAAATTACTATCATAGATTGGAAAAAAGATTTCAAACACAGACACATCAAAGAGATAGTGTGGATAAAATCAAAAGGAAAGATTGTCAAATATATTTTTGGTGACATTTTAAACGACAAAATCCGCCTCTTTTTTGACCATTCTACTGTGACGCCAGTTACATAGAACAGTGTTTTTCAACCTTTTTTGAGCCAAGGCACACTTTTTTCACTGAAAAAATCTTGCGGCACACCTCCAGGAGAAAATGTAAAAATGTATACAGTACTAATGTAAAAAAATATATACTGTACATACTCTGTGTGATATATAAAGTATATCTTATCTTATAATGTATACAGTATACTCTGTAGCCTATATTCACAATATACAGTTATTCTCATCAAAATGCTTAAGTCCAGGCCTTGACATTAAGCTTTATTTAATATTTCTCGATACAATTAACAAGAGTTTGGGAATAGAGTGGCACTAACTGTGTGGAAAAAAACTAAGAAAATCCACTCTCTGCCCAAATAGTCAAATAATAACTCACACAAAGAACATGCATTGTTAGTGCATGGGAAAAATGTTGGTATCCGAGCTTTAAATTCAGGAGTTTTGGATGAGGGACACGGGAGGTCCTGAACGCGAGTCCATGGTTCTGTCCGGTCCGCATGTCTGTGGTTCTGTCCACTCGACTATGGTCTGCGCTCGGCACCCAGTTCAGAAGTGCGTTCGCGAGAGCTGTTGTACAAAAATTGTACATTTCATAGTTAAACCACTACAACGCGGCCACAGCTGCCCCGGGGCAGAGCGGAGGATGTTAATCCTGTTCAGAAACGGCATAATTCATTTTCAAAAACGTCTCTATCACTTTCACTTCTCACTCGCCACAAAGCTCTTGTCTCGCTCCCTCCCACATTTGTTGGTCGCATCCAATTTTACCTTTCTCGCCACAATGCTGACCTGTTACAGCCAGTGGTCGCATCCAATTTTTCAGTTTCAAAGTACTTAGCTATCTGCTGCCATCTACTGATTTGAAAAAGTACTACATGGTTACTCACAGTTCAAAACAAGTCACCGCTCGTCAACAGCGAATGCAGCTATTTTTAGACAAAGTAGACGAATTTCTCACGGCACACCAGACAATATCATACGGCACACTAGTGTGCCGCGGCACAGTGGTTGAAAAACACTGACATAGAAAATAAAATGTCCTCAGTCTGAAAAAGCGGCAGATGAAATCCCACAAGATTTACATGGTAACACAACATCAGGAAATCACTTGATATGAAAAGGAATCGTTAAAAAATAAAAAATAATTAATGAATTAAATGACCCTTGAAAAATGTATAACGGACGTGATGGTTTCCGTCCTCTTTTCTCTAATATTTAAACTTGAGAAAGAAAAAAATCTTGTCTGGTTTCACATTTAATTAGTTGACAATATGAAAGTATCACTTTGTTTCTACTCTGTGTAAAAAAATAGAATCTCTGAATCAAATGTGGACATCTGAAAATACCTATCAAACTTCCGCAAAGCTCATCACGTCCGTTAGATAAAATAAACAGGGCCGCTATAGGAAACTTGTCTAATGTATAAAACAGTTATGTTCTAGCAACTTCTAATGGACAGAGGAGGTATTTGGAAACATGAAAAACATAAAATATCTTATGATTATTAAAATCTAATTTTTGGCCTTTTGTCACACTTTTGTGCCCTTTAGTGTGAACAAGCGCACTATATATATACTGTTATACAGTAAAAACACAGTAGCTCCATATCTTGTGAAAATTGAGTTTTAACCAAAAATCACCTGTATGGTACTTGATTTATGCGAGGACACTATTTCTATAACATCCGATCATTTAACCATAAATTATCTGATGTTTTAGTGTTTAGTGCATGTATCTTTTATTTATCTGCGCTCCACAGTTCTCCCACTCAGACTCGCAGATTTCTTGACCTACTTTTGACGTGAGTGGGCATTGATTTTCCTGAGGCAGAGCCCTTGGTACTTGTGCAGGTACAGTGTGTGGGTGGGCGACCGGCAGAGGTGCTGCTCATGTCGCGCTTGGACCTCAAAGGCCTAAAATAACAATCACAGTTAGGTGCAAATTGACTGTAGCTCCTTTTCAAACTTTCAAGAGTATTTGTGTTACATTATTTCCCCTAAAATGTGTTTGAAGAGAGATCTAAGTGTTTAGGAAACCTAGATTTTGTGCAAGCATTGTGGTCAGTATATGTTGTGTATTTTCTAGTGGGAAGGCTGAGGGCTCGAAATGGATTATTCTCTTTAAAAGTGCCGGAATGTTGAATAAAATGGCATAGAGCTCAGCAATCTCCATGGGAAAAAACACAACAAAAAACCCTAGTAATAGAAATACCTTCAATTCTAATTTAACAATAGAACAATTGATAGGTTTATACCATACTGGAGTGGGGATTATTACTACCAAAGCAATAACATTTGCATGAAACAAGCAGGGGATAAATCATAGATGGTATGGCAATGGACAATGCTAACCTGCTAGCTTTATGAAGCTATAGTGAAGTGCTCTCTCCAGCAGACCACTCTGTACAAGAAAGTCATGGAAGGCAGTGGCCCCTGCACTACAAAAGACCTGAGTCTCCTTAGTCCAGTTTGTGGTTCAGATGAACACCAAGGGCTTGTAAAAGTCCACTCTCTCAATGAACGGCGGGAGGACGGTCCCCTGGGGAGCCCCCACACTGTAGGTCAGGACCTCAGACACGCAGTCCCTGGTTCTCACAAACTGGGTTCTGTCTGTGAATTAGTCCAGGATCCACTCACAGTTTACAGTCCACTCCAGCTGTTTGAGTTCACCGTGCTGAAGAGACTGGTCCAACGACCAGTCACTTCAGTGTCTTCATCTGGTGCGATGTCAGAGCCATCCGCCTGAAGTCGCTGAGGTCTTTGGCCCATGATGTCTTGGGCACTGGTACCACACAGGAGGTCACTGGTAGCAGGAGGTCCTCCTGATCTGTGGCACTGTGGTCTGTGGTCTGATTCCCACTCAAATTCTTCAAATCGGCTCTAATCTGCCTCTTTCTCCATAAGGCAAACGCTGTGGGTGACGTCGGCACTAGGTTTGTCTTCGACAGTCTATGGGATAAACCATCAATGGCTAAAAAATAATCCAAATATAGATAGGTGTTTAATAAAATAGGTGCTCCTGTACATGATGAAATGCATTGATAAGTCCTCTCTTTTGTCCAGTGGGATCTGGTGTGTGCGCAGTACTGGCTGGTCCCGCTGGAGGAGGTGTGCTTTATTCTGGGCGTCCTGACCGGGTGTCTGGGCCTGGGTTACACTGCAGACAGGTGAGGCATGTAATGTGAGCTTTGTATAGTTTGTATGGATCCTATCACTAACTTCAGGTTGCCATATAACATATTACAGAGAAAACGTACAAAAACAAACTTAGTGATAGAATATTGTATCTACCAGAAGTGACTCACGTAAAGGAGTTTCACCTCACTGGGATTGCTTACAACACAGAGACACTCATGGCCAAAAGGATTTGTCAATATTTTTTGGGTGGAATAATTGGATATATGTTATTGTGTTTTCCCCTAATACGGAATAAATATGGTGCATGCTTTAAAGAACGTTTGTAGTACGTTATAAGCTGACCAATGAAATAATCCTGTTACAGTGGACGCAGTCACACCATACTGCAGTTTAGAGAATCATATTACTTTGTTCATTCATATCCTGATGTTATGAATGAGTGCACACTGCACAAAGAGAGATGCAGCTGATGTACAAATGAAATTAGCCTCAGATTTACTGCTCTCTGCAGTTAGAGCTGTTAGTGGAGATTTAGTATGTAGTGGTGGAACCGCTGCAAGCTTTTTATTTCAACAGGAACAAATTCATTAAATGTGGAGATGCTGAGTGCTCACACATATGGATTTTTCTTATCTTATAGAATTATCTTTTGAGTCGGAACATAAACATGTTTGTATATGTGCCCTTCATTGCAATCAAAATACAAAATATGATGCGTACATGCAAACGATATCTGATCTAAGGGTGATTTAATCTTAGATACCAGTGTGCAGTGTGTTTAGTCTTGTGTAATATATGTAATAACGGTGGTAATGAGTGCAGCTTGTGGTTGTGTGAGTGTGAATGACCAGAGGGCAGCTAGAGTGTAGTGCCAGTTTAATTAGGTAACAGCTTTAACTGTTGATCACTGGAGTGTGGCACTGTTTGTTCTTACAGCGAAACACAGAGAGGAGGGAAGAAGAAGAGCATATTATCTAATGAGCCTAGTGATGTCACCATACAAATGTTCAAACTCTGCTGATGAATACACTCTATACGAATATTGATATTACGGTGATTCTTTAAGATGTTCAGGTTTGTGCAATGACCTGCACTTTAGTATAAATAGTCCAACTTTATTTGGTTTTGTGGATCAAAAAACTCCAATGTCCTGTTATGTTACTAGCTTTAGTATTGATCTTGTTTTCAATACTTTAAACCTAATTCAAACCATGTTCTAACATTTATCATATATTTTCATTGTTTGCTGCTGTTTTCTCAAACTAGGACGTAGTTAACTACAGTAAAATAGCAAAACAAGCCGAAAACATTTTGGGAAAGTATCTTTGAAGTATTATAATCACCTTATAACTGTCTGGGTATGTCTGTGGTTCGTGTATTTGGGTTTAAAATATACACAAATGACACATTTGTGTTAGGTGAGTGTTCAGGCAATGATGTAGTGCACTATGATAATAATTTATTAATAATAATAATAATAATAATAATAATAATAATAATAATAATAATAATAATAATAATAACATTCCAGAGCCATGCCCTGCTCTCTTTTTCTATCCCCCATAGACATCATTATACTTGTTAAATTGCATTACCACATTCTGTTGTAAATGTGTGTTGTTATTGTGCCGCAGACTGGGCCGCTCCAAGACCCTGCTGGTCTCGCTGACTCTCTCGGTGGTCTTCGGGGTCCTGGTCTGTGTGTCTCCTTCTCCCTCGGTCTTCATCGTGATGCGCTTCTGTTTGGCTGCAGCCAGCGCCGGAGTTTACCTCACACTGTACATTACACGTAAGGGTCATATCTCATGTATCTAACGCTGAGTCGTCCAAACAGTCTCTATCGCTGTCTACATTGTTTTAAAAATGTTATCTTTGGCATTCTTACTATCTATGAGTGACTATCTGAGAGCTGATTGGCTGAGTGAGGGTGGTCCACTCTTTTTCACTTCTCTGTTGGAAAAACCTGATGTGACAAAGGCCAGAAGGGCATGTGTGAAAAGAGCCAAGCTATTATGGGGGAAGGATGCAGATGCAATTTTAATACATAGTTCCATCTTTTGTAGTTTTAAAGTGAAGTACCCCAGCTTGAATACACAAAATACAAGCATATTCGAATTAACCCCATGATACTTAAAGGAATGTTGGTAAGGAATAAGCAAACAAATAAATCAAATAAATATTCAAGATGGTGAAAACTGTTGTTATGGAAACTTGAGGCCTGGGATTACAGACGTTCTTTGAAAATTAGTATTTTTCTCCCAAAAGTACATTGTAAAGCAGCATGTAATTAAACTATTAATAAAGCATTTTATTTTGGAGAATAAATAGATTATTGATTCATTTGATGTGCCATTTGCAGTAAAAGCACATTGCAATCCTTGTGCTAAAGTACTTCAGTGTGCACCAATACCAAATACTTTAGAATATAGTGTACAATTGAATGTGAGGAATGGTTTATTTTAAATACCACGTTGGAAAGTTTTTTTCCACCAAAAACAAAACGTACAAAGTACTTTGTGTATGTTTCAGGTCTGGAGCTGTGTGAGCCTGCCCTGCGGCTCGTGGTTACCATGGCGGCAGGCCTGATGACGGTGTGTGGGGAGCTGCTGCTGCTGGCGCTGGCTCTGGGCTGTCAGTCCTGGAGGGGGCTCCTGGGGGCCGGAGCTGCTCCTCTCACTCTGTTCCTCAGTTATGGGTTTGTACATGAGCACAATACTACACACTGTATCGGCCCTAATGCGAGAAAACAAAAACTAAACTGTTTTCAGAACCACGTTTTGTTTGTTCCCAACAGCAAGAAAAGGTTTTGTTTTGGAGTCATTGGCTGAGTGAGTGGTACTCTTTTGAAGTCTGATGTCAGAGGACAAAATGAGGACCAATGATAGAACCAGTGTGTTAAACTACTTGCATAGATTTTATTAGATGATTTTGTGGTTTTGAAGTTAGGTACTCAGTTGTAAACCAAAGCCCTGGACAGATGCTAGTGCACCTTGTGGCAGAAGAAACAAAACTATAAAGAACAGAAAGAGATCAGTGCTTGGCTGTCGGAGAACGAGGAAGTACAGTTTCAGGATGCTACTTGTTGTGATCACTACTATAATGGCCTTGTTGAATTAATTGATCAATCGTGAAAAGAGAAATACAGTGAATTGTGACATGTTATGTTTTTCACTTGTTTTAAATCAGACACTGGTGTTGAATCTGTAATAAAAAAATGCTTTCCGTGTTGACCTTTTCTTGAACCTTTCTGAGCTGCATGCAGAGTTGCGGCACATTGAAGGCCTCTCACGGTCTGTGTAAATCCGTATCGACTCGTATCATGTCTGATAAAGTGTCTGGATGCGGCCGACTCACTGGGAGCTTTGTTTGATGGCATTGATCCCCTCTTTGCCATGAGGCTTTTAGCTCATGTCAGAAAGTATTAGATTGTTTAAAAAGTCCCCAAACGCTTTCAGTCCCGTGTCTCAGAATAAAACTGGATTGAATCTCACAATCAAATGAAATTAGATCACAGTGAGATTACCGGCAATATTCTTACAAATTCGGTTTTAAGAGATATTTGTGGACCACTTACACAACCAAATCAGGACATGGTTCTGTGGAGGCTGAAGGATTTGCTTTTTGTTTGCAGTATTCCGGGGGTTTTTCCAGAGTCTCCGAGATGGCTGCTTCTGTCGGAAAGATCTGCGGACATGAACTCCTTCAGCGAGAGACGAAACTCAAACCGAGACGACGAGAGCTTCACAGGTCTGTTCTCACGAGCGCAATCGCTTTGTGTCTGGGAAAGAACCCGGCTTTGTGAAGAGGCGTTCGGAGGATTAAATATTCATGGGTAGCATTTGAGTAATTTCAATAACAGAAAATGACTTTGCATCATCATTTATTAAAACACTTTGGATCTTGTGACGCTAACCCTGGTCCGTCTTGGAAAACAAGCTCAAATTGCTATATGTAAATGTGTGTGTCCAGACTGAAACTGTATCTGCAGGTTGTGTTGTGTTGTTATGTTGTGTTCCAAACAAACTGGCAGGACTGGGCACTTTCATGTACGTTTTGAAATTACATTTATCATTTTAACATCGAACCCAAGCCATAAATGATATCTGAGTGAATGTGATCAATTCTCAGGTGCGCTGGCCTCTTCAGTTAAATAACACTTACATTTGTCGAGGACAGATTCTGTAATAAGCAGTTTCCCCTCGTTGTCTCAAGTCAAGGTCACTATTTTTGTTTAATAACATGAAAAAATTACCAGTAAATTGATTTAATTGCAATTGTTCTGCAAACCATATGGCCCAATGTAAACCGAAGCCACTAAAAAGCACTCTTTCAATTTTATAATCAGGTTTCAGAGTTGGTATATATTAGCAATGCCGCTAAAGCATGAATCATTTTTAGGAAGCTTGAGGTCAGTTTAGTTTTGCTTGTTTAATTTATGTTATTATTGCTTTGAGTATTTTGAAACCACAAAAAATGCACTAAAATAAAAACTCTCAAAACGGTTTGGTTCTAAATCTAGTTTTCAGATGTATTTATGACCTCTCACGTTTCTAAATCAGCATTTCCAGAGAAAAAGAGGGCACTCGCTTAGAAAATCATCTCTAAATTGGCCAAGTGTGTCGTGATGGAAAAATGAAATTAAACCAAAGTATAGGATTGCAAAAATACGTGAAACATGACAAAATGTTTTCTAATAAGTTAAAGACAGTGAGTAGTGGTCTGATGTTACTTTTACAAGACTTTTGGGGCAAATTACATGTAATTTATCAAACACTGTAGTATTGTAGTTTATATTTTCTATCTCTAAAATATTGCACAGACATTTAATTTTTTTAACAATTTAAATGTATTAAGTACAATATATATTAAATGTGCTAAAATGTCTGTTTATTTGTAAATAGTTGAACATTTTGTAAAACATTTAAATCTCAGAACCATATTTGTGGTCTTGAAAAGTCTTAAATCTGCCTCCCATGCAGAACAACCCTGTGTAAAGCATTTACATCATGTCGTTTCGTTGGTTAAGTTTGTGTAAGCGCTCAGTCGTACAGATTTGGGTGAAGATTTGTACTTACATTCTTGCTTCTTAATATAGATTAGATTTTAGACTGCTTTCTGATTATGCTAAAGCCACAGATTTTATTATGTTGTTTTATTTATTTATTAGAGAATTTAGTATAGGGTTGTTAAGTATAGAGTTATTTAGTAGAGAGTTTAGTAGTATAGTTTAGTGCTGTGTGCTCCTCATTCCTACTTTCCTGCAACTGGTGATGCAACACTGAAATGTCTCCACTGTTTCAGGATCTATTCTTATTAATCTTCATTGATGACATTAACAGTAGTTTTGTTGTCTGATGCAGAGCTGGATTCGGAGCCGCCTCTTTCCTCTCGTCCTCATCTGTCGTTCCAGGAGCTGGTCCACTGCAGAAACATCTGGAAGAACCTCTGTGTGCTCGGCTTCACCTCGTGAGTGAACGCTCTCAAATCCACTTCAAACAAACCACTATTTCCAGTTGATTAAAACAAAATTCAAGCTGGTTTACCTAATTCAAACCACAAACAATAACTGTGTGATAAAATCCACAAAAATAAAACTGTTCCTAGCTCTCAAAACAGTTTGGTTCTTGCATTAGTCTTTGGCCTCCGTCACATCTTTTAGATCAGCTTTTTCAGACAGAAAAGTGGAAGAAGACTTACTGTGTACATCCATTAACATACTGTATCTGCAATGCCCCAATGCGATTTAAATTTTTTTTGTTTTGTTTGGTTCTGTTTGGTTAAAAGGACAAATGCAGCAGGCTCGCACCAGTCGAGTGAGGACCAGAGTGTATCGTTAGCTGCTTTCTCCACAAAGAATATTTAGCCTAATATGACTGCACCATCAAGCTAGCATGGTTAAAGTCGTCCTTATAGTATCAGCCCCACTCTGGTTTTCCCCATGAACCTAAAATAACATTCTCAGAGGGAGACTTTCAAACAAAGATCACCTGAACAGAGAAGCATTCATACGATACAGGAAAGTGGAGGTAATTTTAGTTTACTTGGAGTTGTTCTTGTGATTGATGTGATCTTAAATAGACTCGTAGCTCTGTCCTTGTTTACCCGCACAGGTGTAAATGTAACATCAGACCTCAGTCCTTCTACTCCAGGGTGACGTGTTCTTCTCTCTCCTCAGATTCATCTCTCACGGCATCAGTCACTGCTACAGCTCGTTCCGCGCAGACGTCAAAGGCACAGCGCCCAGTTTCTATTGGACGTACCTGCTGTCTGTCAGTGCGGGGGGCGGGGCTTGGCTGTTGCTGTGGGCGACAGTGGACAGGTGCGGTCGCCGTGGCATCCTGCTCCTCTTCATGACGATGACAGGACTGGCCTCTTTGATCCTCCTCGGCCTCATGGAATGTGAGTGCAGTCAGAGACACAGCTATGCACTGGAAATGTTCTTGGAAATGTTGCAGATTTAATGATATAAAATCCACTTTAATTATATATTTAACAAACAGTTCCCAATGTGCCACACTTTTTGACTACAACAATATGATCAGGAGAAAATAAATACACATTTTCAGACTGAAAGACTTTGGCTGAAGTTTGACACTATTATGCCTAACCCTAAAAAAAATACCTAAAAAGAAAATCACTAATAGACCAATAAAATAAACACATCAGACATCAGATGGTTTCAGGAACAACTCTTTCACTACTTTCATTTCCCTTCATCTCTTCCATGATGTTTTTGTGTTTTGCTCTTCTCAGCAATTCTATCAAGAGAAATCATATTAATCCATTCCCCAAATGCTAGACATTATCCCGGCACCTTGATACAGAGTTCTCCATATCGACCCCTGGCCTCGGCTGGGGTTCGATGTGGGGGGGTCGAGTGTGAGAAGGATCTGGTTTGCACTTTCAAACACAATTTCATCTTGAATTCATCATGTGCTTGAAAATCAGCATGTTAAAGAGCTGAACATGCAAAAACCATTAATTCATTTCGACACGCTGAGTCTTCAAGTCGCCTTCAGGAATGTAGCTGGAACACATTCTGCTGTTAGTCAAGGAAAAATAATACAATTACCATAATGTCTTCTCACAAAATAATGAACGTGAATGAAACATAAAACACATTTATTTTGACAAAAGGTTTTTAAAAGTAGTCAAGTTTTGTAAACCAGAACTCTATTGCATAAATGTAAGTTTCAAACAGTATAACAGAAGGCTCAATCCATGTCATCTAAACTAGCCTCATGTAGGACTGACAGCTGTGGCACCGAATGTAACAAGTTTGTCGCCCTCTAATTGGTCTATAACTGGTTTCTCGTGTATATTTTGGCCTCTGTCACATCTTTAGGTCTGCTTTTTCAGACAAAAAAGGGGAAAAAGAGAGCTCTGAGCTATAATAGGGACTCCCAGGGCCGATATTCCATAAATAATTGATTATCTATTAAGAAAATAAGTTGGGTACCCCAGCTTTAATGGGTGTTTCTCAGACAGCCTGACACCCTCGTTCATGGAAAAGTACCTCCCCCAGTGCCTTTGTCCTCATCTGATGTCAAAGGAGCAATGGTTTGGTCTCCGACTCCCCCTAGTGGTAGAATCCGTTCCATGACCTCACTGTGTCTGTGGGACACTGCAGTTGCACCAAAGTCAAAGTCTGCGTCAGGTGCTTTGCTTTCATCACGCTTCAGTGACTGTGCCCCAACAACATGAAGGTAATAAGGTTTAGACAGGCTCCTCCCACAGACCCACTTTGTGCCGTGGATAAGAAGAAAAGACCTAGGGAAGAAAGTCACAAGGAGAAATAAAGGAAAGAGAGTGTTTCAAATCCAAAGTCTTAAAGGTTTCCCCTAAAAAGTTAAAACAGATCTTGGTGAAAACAACTATTGTGTGCAATTGATATTATTATTTTTTGTTTATTGTTACACAGACAGTTGCTACAAAGGGCAGTTCTGATTGGCTACTTTATCCCAGTAGGAGAAATTCAGGTGTTCAGGAGCAGCAAAAACACATCCATCCACACAAACTAAACAAATAGATAGATAATTCTAAAAGGCTAACAATAGTTAAAAAAAAAGCAACAGCACTTCAGGTCCCAGCAGCAGAGGTGGTTCACAGAGAAGGATGTGTGGTTATGTTTATGTGCCAAATGGGTTATAAGGGCTACACATCCAACCTTCCCTATCCACACACTGGGAATCTTGAGGCATTCCCAGCTCAGAGACACTGCCCCTCCAGTGTGTCCTGGGTCTTCCCCTGGTCTCCTTCCGGTGGGACATTCCTCAAAAGACACTAAAGACAGAAAACACGCTGTGATTTAAAAAATAAGCACAAAGTAAAAGCAATAAAGCGCTAAATGTGAACAAAGCACATTAATTGTTTGCACTTTATTCTCCCTAGTTACAGTTTCCAGGCTAACGCAATCTTTCTTTTCTCCCGTAGATTTGAGCGAGACGGCCATCACAGTCTTCTCGGTCCTCGGGCTGTTCTCGTCTCAAGCCACTGCGTCTCTGTGCATCTTCTTCACTGCAGAAATCATGCCCACGATTATCAGGTAAAATACAACAACACAGACAACAACAACAATGATGTCAATTATTTCACTGAGAAGCGTGTGACAGGATTACAGGCCTCGGTCTTAACATCCTGCTGCTAATAATAGATGACATTTACAAATCAAACAATGGACTGAAAACCCACTGAATGCATCATTAATGAGCAGAAGTGAAATGATGCGGAACTCTACGCCCCAACACTTCCCCTCCACACTGCACTCGCTGAAGTGTCTTTATAAAACAATTGTGAATTAGTCATGACTTTGACCAGTAGCATGGTGCAAAAACAAGTCCAAAAATAGTCAAAAATACATATAGAAAAAAAGTGTCCAGAGTTTATTTTAATGCAGCAGTAGAATGACTTTTAAGATGGGATGTATTTTGTAAAAGTAGTGGTCCTAGTTGCAGATTCTCAGTATTGATTATGATCTGGTAACATAGTGCTAGCTCTGGAACAGTCTCCCACACGGCACTTTAAACAAGTTCAAACTCCATCTCACACCTGCTCTGGCCCGTTCCCCTTGATCTCACACATTTTTTCTAAGTTGTATGTAGGGTTTTTAATCGTTTTTTTTTTTTTATGTCAAAGACCAAATGACAAATAGATTGAAATACTATTGACCTTTATCATTCACTTCAACTGTATTACAGACTCTTAGTTCCATTTAAAACAGACAATAAAATCAACAAACTTCAAAAGACAACCTTGTTTTACAAAATACAATACAAAATTTGACCTCCTCAAGGAAAGGATGGTTTCTCCTTAGATACCAAAAATAACTCTTTGAATAACTTTGAACGGGCCCTTTTGTCCCACCTCCGGATTCAAAGCTGTGGTAACTTATTAGATCAATGATTTTTGATACTATGATCAAATAAATTAATATAAAAGACATTGAATAGATTATGGACTATAAAAAGGATGATTTTGCTTCAGTGGAGTTTGTTCTTTGAGGTGCCATGACATGCTTCTGTCTGTTGTTTAAAGATGACCGTCTATGAACTTCTGGATATATTCAGTACATTTGAAATCTCAGGGGAGCACAATAGCTTCTTGCACGCTCTAAAAACGTTGAGTGTGTAAATGACCTAGAATCGGGGGTGTCAAACCGGTTCCAGAAAGGGCCGGTGTGGCTGCAGGTTTTAGTTTCAACCGGAGCAGGACCGGACTCCACCCATTTCCTCAGCTGAGCCCAATTTTAAACCTGAAAAACCTTCAGAACACCGGCACTTTAAGGACCGGTTTGACACCCCTGAGTCCTACAGAAAACACCCAAACTGCGTATATGGCTGTGAAAAGTGACTATGAGGATTATAAAAATGGTGAAACCTCAGCTCAGCCCGCACAATTCATTCATAAATATGTCTTCTTCCCCTCGTGTCCAGGGGCAGCGGCGTGGGTGCAGTTCTGGCTCTGGGCTGCGTGGGGCGCCTCAGCTCTCCTCTCATGGACTTGAGGAACCACTACGGCTACTTCCTGCACCACGTAGTCTACTCCTCGCTGGCTCTGCTTGCCGTGCTCTCCATCCTGCTTCTGCCCGAGAGCAAGAGGAAGCCCCTGCCCCAAACGCTCGCAGACGGAGAGCAGTACCGGCGCCCGCCACTGGGGAGACGGAGACGGGACAATGTGCCGCTACTGGCCACGCCCAACCCAGAGACCTAAGCAGTGGATATAGGCAATACAATAGCCCCATTCACATTATCTGCAGTCTAGAGGTTTTCCCCAGAAATTTCCATGGACATCATTCCCAGAAATGTTTCATAGGTCAAAAGTCTGCACATTCCTCACCATTGTCATAAAATCCAAATGAATCTCCAGTTTACCCGATGGTAGTCGAATGCAGAGACAAATGGCAAGACAATTTTTAGACTTTGCCAACAGTGCACTCCAGGGAATCTTCATGCACTTCTGTTTATGTGACTGGGGCCTGCTCTGGTAGTTTGTTCCCAGCACTGTGTAATGAGACGTTCATGTGAATGGGGCTGCGACCACGATATCTAAAAGGGATGAGTAGAAAAGGGCTTGGAGCTTCCTGACATCGTGTCCTTTCCTGCCTCTGACCCTCTGCGAGACCGTCTCAGCTCGCCACGTTCACACTTTGGTACGACTTCGATAAGAGACGGCTCTCATTTCCCCGTCACCAGCATCCGTCACGGCTCACCAACCTCCTCATGTCAAGACTCTGCCTTCTTCCTCCTGAGGATCAAATCATTTACCAGTCAGGCATAACATTGTGATTTACATTTGTTTTCAGTCATTTGTGAGCAAATAAACAGAAATAACAAGTACCAACTGGAATCCACGTTGGTAATATTTGACCATATATATACTGTCTGTGGTGGTGCATGTGGCTTCTGGTTATCAAAGTGGAATCCCTGCTTTTTCACAGATTTCAAGTCAATCCCATCTGATTTCAGCCTCAAATCACAACAGCAGTTATCTCGGAGGACTTTACAAAACCGTTGAATTTGCCAAATCAGCAGTCCAACACCAGAAATGCAACAATAAAAACACATAGAGATTCATTTTGGGACTACAGTTTTTGCTCTTAGCCTATCGATATTTCCCTCCAGACATACTTTTTTAAGGGAGCATTCATATTAATCCGTTTTCTAACACCATCTGAGCCACTACGATCTCTTCTGTTCTGAGAAAAGCTCACACTGTTTTGCCTGATGTGTGTTCATTCTCATCCAAACGTCTCGCTGTCCGTCTGATCCATATGTGGTTGTCCTGTACATAAACTAGTTTCTTTAACTTGACGTGAGCTGCTGCAGGGAGAGAGGTGCCGTGCGTACTTTGATGTATGTTTTTATGGACATTTTTATTTAAGGCGTGAGTCTGACCATGTCTTTAACGGCATTTAGATAAACAAACACTACTGGTGAATAGTTAATACTGACAAACACAAAAGTATATTGTCGCTAAATCTGGCCTGGAGTCAGTGATGTCTCATATTTATTGTATTTTATTAGTCACATATGACGGACAAATGGCTGCATTCATTTAAGGCCTGGGAAAAGTAAAGCATAAGTAACTTATATTTTGTTGACTCGTTTGAAAAAGTACATTTGAAGTGCCCTGCTTTTACATTTTTGTGGAAAACTGCTTTTTTTTTGTTGTAATTGTAAAAGATAGCCTTTTAAAAACACAATTTGTGCGTAAATATAAACTGATTGAGTTGTGTTTGCATTTTCCCACACAAGCTCTTATTGTCTATGATTTCAACGACTAGTTTCCAGTTTGGGCATTCACTTCACGCTCTTAAACCTTTGAGATACAAACTATAGTTGTTACTGTAAATGTGGGCCTCTTGTTTAGCCTGGTTCATATGTTCTCAGTATTTTTTTCTTTTAGATGACTTGTGCTGCAGATGTACAGTACGTCTTCTGCTGTAAGACTTTAAACCGGCCTGTGCTGTAGTCACGGAGGAGAGTGGATTGTTGGTCATGTGTCGTGTGAAACAAAGGCGTCTCTAGTGTACATTCCTGTCTGCATGTTTCGGAAGCACTCTAAAGGGCTTGTCTAATGTCTCTCTCAGATGCTTCAAATATCTTATCACCACCTCCTTTTTAGCAGAACAAAGAAAAGACCGAAGTAGAGAGACGCTAACTCCTATTTTTTCAGGTTATGAACAGTTTGTATTTTATGTTTTTTGTTTGCCTGTACCACACAAAGGCCCTGTGATAGGATGCCATTGCAGCTCAAGAGGGCCTTAAGAACTTGTCACACACTTATTATGTCTGTCCTCAGTGTTGTTACTGTACAAGTCTTAGACATGAATGTGCTCAGGCTGTTCGTTTTTATACTCGAGTCTATGTCATATTTGTTGGAGCGAAGCACTGTGCAAAGGTTCAAATCAATAATAATAATCAACATACCAGACATTGTGGTCCTGTCTTACAACAACAAATACTGTATAGACCCGAGTCGGGTTTGGACAGGATCTGGAGTAGACAAGACGACTCGGTAGAAGTCCTTGCTCCATTAGCTCTTCTAAAACGATAGCAATAATGGAAAATAATATTATCATAATGTCTTGTCCCATCGTCATCTTGCATGACCACAGGAAAAAAGCCTTTTTCAAATTTTAGAATAAATTAAATGGTATGGCTGTTTCCCGAGGAAAATGACCTCTAAAATAAGGTATAACATTCCATTGTAGCCATTACCATCAATGCTGCAAGATAATGATTGAAAATCATTTCAGACCACAGCCCAACAATGGATACAAATCGTTCATTATTTGTGAACTCTGTTTTTATCTTTGGCTCAAGGTTTCTTCCACATTGTGAAGAGTCCGTCCTCTCCTTGTTGACCCAGATGTAATGGTTACACCAGTTTCCCACGCTGCACTGAGGCCTTTGCAGAGTGCTGTGTTCAGATTTGGACAGTGGAATTATGTCATCTTTAATCTTGATCACTTCTTCCTTCGTCAGACTGAGGTATTTTTCATTTGTGGATGTTGCACTTGAAACTTGTACTAAAAATACACTACTTTTGCTCCAGTATCTGACCACACCAGTTTGTTTAATAAGTGAGCAAACTATAGCCTGATTGACTGTCAAATAAAACTCATTCAACTCAACTTTCTGTATTTACTGCATTTATTTATTTGTCTGTTTTCTATGATCCATCATGTCGTCAATCTGATTATAACCTTTTCTGTTCAGAGTCAGTCAATCCTTCACAAATTGTCCGGCAATTCAACAAAAGGATCCTAGGTTCGATTCCTCCTTTCTGAGTGGTGTTTGCATGTTCTCCCCCTGTCTGTGTAGGTTTTCCTCCAGTATCTCCCTGGTAAAAACGCGTACAATAGCTTCCCTCTTGCTCCCCTTTTTCAGGCCTCCCCTGAAAAAGAGGTTCTGACATCTCTGCCACTTTCCTGGTTAAATAAAGGTCCATCCATTCATACCTTTTCTCCTGCTCCTCAGTCGTGGGGGCAGCAGTCTGAGCACAGAGACCCAGACTTCCTTCTCCACACACTTCCTCCAGCTCCTCTGGGGGAATCCTGAGGCGTTCTCAGGCCAACTGAGAGACACAGTCCCTGAGGTGTCATGGGTCTTCCTCTGGGTCTCCCCTCGGTGGGACATGTCCAGAACCTCTCCCCAGGGAGTCGTTCTGGCTCCTCAACGTGGAGAAGCAGCGGCTCTACTCCAAGCTCCTCCCTTGTGACTGAGCTCCTTTTGACCGCTTGTATTCACAATCTCGTCCTTTCGGTCATTACCAGAGGTGAGGGAGGAAATGAAGATTGCTCAAACAGTTGAAGAACATTAGGTAAATATCTATGAACCAAAAATGTTTATAACAGATGTGACTAATTAGCTCTAAATTACGATTTATTAAGCACTTATTATTCCTTATTCGACATGGCCTCATAAGCGACACTTTCCCATGTGGGTTAGGGATAGTATTAGGGTAATCAGGCTAATCAGCAATTACTTAGCTGTTAGTTACTTTTGTTACCGCTATTATTCAGAATGCTAAGATAAAACCCTACTGAAAATTGCAATTAAAAAGGACCAAATACAGTGAGTACCATTCATACTTCGTACTTTATTTCCCAGGTTCAGTCTTGACAGTACTTTTAACGTAGCACATATAATTCCTGTGTCTTTCACTTAAAGACCATTTCTTTCCACCGCTGCTCTGGTCCAGTCTTGAATGAAGCAGTATTTTATTATGAACAACAGTGTCTCTTAGCAACAGTGCATCTGACAGTGTCCATGCTTCTGTCTGCTGTTTAAAGATGACCGTCTATGAACTTCTGGATATATTCAGTACATTTGAAATCTCAGGGGAGCACAATAGCTTCTTGCACGCTCTAAAAACGTTGAGTGTGTAAATGACCTAGAATCGGGGGTGTCAAACCGGTTCCAGAAAGGGCCGGTGTGGCTGCAGGTTTTAGTTCCAGACCAGAGCAGGACCGGACTCCACCCATTTCCTCAGCTGAGCCCAATTTTAAACCTGAAAAACCTGCAGAACACCGGCACTTTAAGGACCGGTTTGACACCCCTGAGTCCTACAGAAAACACCCAAACTGCGTATATGGCTGTGAAAAGAGACTATGAGGATTATAAAAATGGTGAAACCTCAGCTCAGCCCGCACAATTCATTCATAAATATGTCTTCTTCCCCTCGTGTCCAGGGGCAGCGGCGTGGGTGCAGTTCTGGCTCTGGGCTGCGTGGGGCGCCTCAGCTCTCCTCTCATGGACTTGAGGAACTACTACGGCTACTTCCTGCACCACGTAGTCTACTCCTCGCTGGCTCTGCTTGCCGTGCTCTCCATCCTGCTTCTGCCCGAGAGCAAGAGGAAGCCCCTGCCCCAAACGCTCGCAGACGGAGAGCAGTACCGGCGCCCGCCACTGGGGAGACGGAGACGGGACAAAGACCATTTCTTTCCATTGCTGCTCTGGTCCAGTCTTGAATGAAGCAGTATTTTATTATGAACAACAGTGTCTCTTAGCAACAGTGCATCTGACAGTGTCCCTCTGAATGTGAGGCGTGGTGTTAAGCACAGGTCACGCTCTCCTCTCGGACTCTTGTCGACTAGTTTCTTGTTAAAGTTGTAATTTAACTCTTGGAAGGGATTTATGAGCCGTGACAGAGAAAGGAATCTGTCAGTAGCTCTGTCCCAACGTAGTGTATGTACAGTTTACGGTCTATAAGTGCCGCTGTGAGGGCTCAAGGTGTCAAAGCTGAGTCAACAGAAGAAAATGTATCTTTACTGTATTTACAACATGCCATCTGTGCATAGTCCTGACACATATTCAATTTACCCTGTTCAAGGATTTCAGTTTCCTGTTTGAGGTCAATATTCTCATTCAAAAAACCACACATTTTTACAATCCCTGAAATTATTATTAGTGTTACCTTTAGATAACTACTACTCTAACTACCGATGGCACAGACTGGTTACCTCGCTTCTGTCAGTGTGCCCCAGGGCAGCTGTGGCTTCAGTAGTAGTTTGTCACCACCGTGTATGGAGAGAGAAACTTAATGAGACGTGAATCGTCTTTGAGTGTCCAAAATAACGCTGTATAAAACCAATGCCTTATTATTATTATTATTATTATTATTATACCATTAATATAATTGTCAATTTACAAATCTACTTTTACTGAGAATACCAACTTGAATCTTATGACATAATTGGAAAGACTTTTTGCACTATTATGATGGATTGAAATTCTGAGATATTTGGTTGTTTTGTACAGATTGTCATTGTAGACTCATATTTTTGCTCAAAAACTTTACTGTGAGAAAAATTAATGAAAAATAGTAATAACAGTAATGACAGAAACCCTTCAAAAGTCAAACCGACAGAGATTTTCCAGTAGAGTAAATGTTTGACTGAAGAATACTGGGTTCATGTTGCAAGTGTTTTGACCTGAATGTGTCGCGATCCAGCCTCGTCTCTTTGTTGCAGCTGTAGCAGTCGCTCAGGTGTGAGTTTAAAGTGCACTTGTTTTGGCTCCGAGTTAAACCCAAAGAATGTTCTGTGTTTTAAAATGCAAATGTGAGAGCGGTCCCTCCATAGAACCTGTGTTTCTACATGAGGAGAAACTTATTGCCATATTGTCTGACATATATGTAAGGAAATAAGTCAAAAAGGTATGAGAAAAAGCAACTTAAACATATTTAATTCACTGGTAAAAAAAATAAAATCAGCCTGTATCAATAAGCCCTTTGCTTTGAGTATGAACTGATGAACGCGGTATATTCAGTTACGTTTTTTTCATAATTGCAGTTCAATATGAGCCATTTCGTCCAAACCAAAACCTAATCTTTGGAATAAGCCCTCAGATCTTGCACAACACCTGCTTTTACAAACTCTTTCTCAGTAACTGGATCTGTAACCCTGGCAACATCCAGAGCCCTACATAAAGTGCTATGTGCTTTAACTGAGCATGGAGCTGCCCCATTAGCTCATCAAAGCGTGCGTTTTCATGTCCACCTTTGCAAACAATTTATGCAACCCAATAAGGAATCTTGAGTTACAACAGGAAGTATGTGAACGTTGGGCGGCCTGGTCTCTGTCAGAGGACAGCACTTTGACACTAAACTGATACAGATCATTACAGGGAATTCCACTGATTTATGGAGCATGACCGCATGATCTCCTGATGAGGCATGAGATAATAATGATAAGAATTTATTTTATTTTATTTCATGAAACATTTCAAGACACCCAAGAACGTCGTACAATAGACTTAAACATAACACACAATGTAAAAAATACAGAATAGAATGCATGCAAAGTATTATAAAAAAGGCCAATTTAAGTAAGTTTTAGATGTAATTTGAAAATGTCCAGAGTCTAACAGTCGCAGGAGTCGCCATGCACTGTATTGAGATGCTGAGAGAGTTTACAGATTAGTCAAAGAAACAAATGTGTTTTTAGATATCACATCATTTCATCCTGGAGACTAACATCAGTGAGTGAATATAGAGAGATTTATTTATTTACAGTTTATTATATTATTCAAAGTTGCAAAGTTGCCGTCAGGTTTTGGCTTATGTCAAGTGTAGATCCAGCTCATTGTAAAAGCGTCATTATAAGATTCCTCTGGGCATAAAGCTGAGGAACCACATAACAGAAAGAGTCTTGTCAATGTAAAATGGTACGAAAAAGTTACATGAGTAACTTCCTGACGCTTTGGGCCCAGAGCTGATATTAAAGGGCAACTCACCCTCAACTTTTTTTGCTGATAAACAGTATAAATGAGTGTCCAATAGTGTTGTCTACATATCCTGGTCATAATTTTGTCACTTTAGTGCAAATTAGTTGAAAGATCCACTTTCTGCCTAAAACCGTCAGTGAGGCGCCATCTGCAGGCGACCTGTATTTACTACATTTGAATTTTGAATCTACCTGACGTCTGCAGTGATGGCTGACGTCAGTTGCCCTGCCGCTCTGGGGTATATAAACGGCCCAGTCTCGTTCACGCCCCCGCAGTGAGTTGGAGAAGGTATTTTCATCAATTGTCAGGTTTGCGATTAGTTTTAGCATTTACATAGATTTTTATTTGCATAGCTGTTTGTATTATTGATAATTGTGTATTGTTAATAGCGTTGTTGTTGAATATTGTAGTTTTAGTCATTAGTTGCATCATATTTGTTCTTTGATCATCTTTCAAATGCTCCTAGAAACAGATCATCAAATGTAGCAAATGTTACACACATTTGTTCCCAGGAGAACACAACAGGCTCAACAAAAGCCCTCTCTGGGTCACATGACGCCATCGCCTGCCCCCCTTCCTCTCACTCTGTAGAAAAGTCCAAGTATTTTTTGTGGAAAGACGACACTTGCTTCATGAGGGTTGTTCACAGACGGGAGTGAGGCCTCTCTCTCCTCTCTGCTCTGGTTACATGTTCCATAAGAATCAGTGCGGTGGGTTTTATCGCACACGTTACAGATGTTCACTGAATGCATCATCTCAATACAATGCAATTCGCAAATTACAACTCATTCAGATTTCAAAATGCATTTTAAGTTTGAATGGCAACATTACAACATTATCTTGTTAACTCATTTTCAATTGCATTGTCAGTTGGAAATAAATTCAATAAAAATCCATATTAGTTCAATCGTAGTAGCATTTTGTATATTTAATGCGTAGGTTGGCTTCTTCTCTCTGATCAAAGGCGTCTCAGGCTAAACCTCCGTGTCACAGCGATATTAACGTGATATTAACGTGTCAATACCTATTATGCAGAAAACAATTTAGAAATGTCTGGATGGTATTCATTAGTTGTTGGTGTGTCCAGTAAAGCCCTGCACGGGATTAACTCAAGATTCAAAGAACATCTGCTATTCATAATGCTTCTCAAACACACTAAAACAAAGTCCCCCTGATAACCACTATGTACAGTAGATGCACATACATAAAGTGTTGGCGATGAAAAAAAATAAAAGGGTGTGTTTTGTAAAGAGAGAGATGAAAGGGTGCGGTTTGACAAGTTTGAACTTTTGCTCACTTCAAAAAGGACACATGTGTTGACATGATGGGTGTGCGATGGTTGATGGATAAATGCGTTCATTGAAAAAACAAAAACACTTCCTTATACAGTAAAAGCACATTTGGCAGTTAAGCCTGAACTGAGGACATTTTTCATTCTGCAAATACATGTAAGTGTCTATACGATGTTTAGCCAGACCCATGAGACAGAGACACTAAAGTCAGAGCTTATTTATTAACAAAGATTTCTTATTTGCACTGGTGGAGATGAATGAATGAAAGAGAATAAAGATATGGCCTCTTGCTTTCTGTAGTTCATTTACATGGATTTACAGTATGTCCACATGAGATACTATTAATGAGAGAATCAGTATCAGCTCACATAAAGTCAGTGGTGGATACTTCTCTCTCTCAGGCAATAATAGAATATAATCAAGTCTTTGTATCACTGATACCTGCCTTTGGAAAACATTTATAAGTGACTTGTGTGGCCACTCAAGAGCAATAAGGAATTGCTTACTGATATCAAATATGAAGGTGTGGAAAGTGGAGACGGCTACGCGCTCCTAAAATAATACAATTAAATGAAAGAAAGAAAAAGACCAGCAACGCCAGGGCAGAGTGCCCAAAATATAATAAAGAGCGCACTAAGGCGCACAGGCTCGTTAAATGATTTAAGAGTGATAGACAGATGTGGCGATATGGTAGGTACGGTACAACAGAATATAATCAGTATTTTAGATAATAGCCCAATTTACAGCAACGCCACCTGGGGAGATAGCCCCAGGACCAATAACCACTCGTTATAAGCAGTGACACAAAATAACCCCCGCAGTAAGGCAACACAGGTTCGTTGGACTGAAGAGCACGAGAGACAGTATTATAAAACAATACTTCTTTATTTTCACAAGTTGGTTAAACGAGTCATTAAAAACATTCTCACTTTTGCACATGTTATGGTTTTGGTTTTTGTTCTGCTCCCCTCCCCCCTGTGTTTTGTGTTGCAGCAGAGCAGTGTGTGGCAGGGGCGTGGCTGACTTCTCCTGGTGCTGAGTCTCAACACCTGTGCGTCATCACTAATTAAGACCAGTATGAATGCCTGGATTTCTCAGCACCACACTGCCAGATTATTCCATGTGGGACAGCTCAGATCCGCTGCACAGCTGGGCTCTCTTTCACACCCGCGTGAGGGAAAAAGGTGTGAATTCCCTGCCTGAGGTGACCCCCATGTCCCCGCTGCTCCCTGCACGTAAATTTGGACATGCGCAGTAGCGGAGAACAAACATAAACAACAATGGCGGCGGGTACACTAACTAGCTTCGTGGGCTTCGAGTGCGGTACAGAGGATAATTCTACTCCTTCGTTCGTCCAAACAAGACCAGTTTCAATTTTCACAGCTGCTGTTAAAATGCAGAATGATGTTGGTGCGCTCCGAGGGTCTGGCAGCGGAAGTGGGTATACTGCCGGGAGGGAGGGGGCATGGGGCTGGGGGTCGCATGTGTGGGCTGTAAAGTTTCTCTGCCCACTACTGGCCGGGCGCTAGAACTACATCGTTTTTCAACCTCGTAAGAACGCTGAAAAATTTGCATTAGGAGCCTGGTCGTTTCTGCTAATAGCCTGGAAACGTCTGCGCAGCGTCTCAGTATAAACTCAGCCTAAGCTTTCTAGTGGCAGGAGGAAGGGACCCACATTACCAGTCTGTCAGGGAGCGCGCCAGTCCGAGTGCCAAAGGTTACTGGCACTCTGCTTAGCTGTAGGTCTAAAGGGTCAGGGAGACGACAACCCACAACGCTGGGTTAGTGTGGCCCAGGGGTGGTCACAAAGAGGCGGAAGCCCCAGAGGAGAGGCTCTGAAGGGGGCCGCTCTGAAGGGAAGCCGCGCTGAAGGAGAGCCGCGTTGAAGGAGAGCCGCGTTGAAGGGGCCACTCTGAAGGGAAGCCGCGCTGAAGGAGAGCCGCGTTGAAGGAGAGCCGCGTTGAAGGGGCCACTCTGAAGGGGACCATTCTGACGGGGAGGCTCGTCGGATCTATGCTGGTGAGAATTAGGTTTATTAGAACTATATAAGAGAGAGAGCCAGAGAGAGCGAGAGAAAGAGCGAGAGAGAACGAGAGAAAGAGAGAGAGCGAGAGAGACAGATACACCTAGGCTAGATGGACTGTAGAAACATACATACCTAAATCTTGCAGTTTTAGAGTGCAGCGTGAAGGTGCCCTGTACTCAGGCAAGGCGCACTACTGAATAAAAAGATGTAAGCCCAGATTAGTCAAACCAATTGTGATACGAATAATGATTGAATGGCTTACCAAGATGGAAATATTCTAGTATGCAAAGCTGCAGAGAATAAATGCAGCCCAAAAGCCCGCACAGCTGCCTAAGGATGAAGCCGAGTTAGGCTCACTGAAGGAGCAATTTATGAATGAGAGCGTCCCAGTACTCACCGAGGAGGCGCTCTAAATCTGAGGACAACAGGTTTGAGTAAGCCTGCGCGCTAACACAGAAACCTAAGAGAGCGGTGACTTTAGAAAGCAATGTAAACAGTTTGATGAATGAACGCGCTGATAATACTCACCGCAAGTGCAATTTACTCAATCGCCCAACAGAAAGGACGGCCCGCACGCCAGCACAAGAAGCCTGTGAGAGCGGCGGGTTAGAATTGATGCGCAGAACTTATGAATGGAGCTTGGATATTACTCACCAAGAAGATCGCCACCCAGCATTTAAGCCAACGGCTCACGGCTATTAAACCAATGATTTACTCTTTTGGTGACGGTCTAATGAGCCTTATCCATGGCTCTGCTTCAAGTATCGCTGCGCTGCATGCGGACGGCAGAGGTGAGGAGAGAGACGCGACAGGTGAAACTAGTTCACGTAATCAAGGCTCTGCCGCAGCGTGATTGGCCGCCAGTGGGTATGCGCGTACCACTACACTCTACCCCCCCCAATTGGATCGTCGACCCGGCGATCAACTTTAATTTCAGCTGAATAGGACAGCAGTTTCCGAATACAAAATGGGTTAGGTGCCCAACACTGACCGAGTCAAATTATGAGGGTTAGGGTGATTGTGAGAGCCGGGGGGAGCACGTAATTGCAGTAAATGAAACTACTGATGCGTTTAAAAAATAATTTATTTACAAACAATAAATGTTAAAAATGTCCGATGTAAAAAAAGAGCAAATTAAAATTAGTCCCGACACGTGTTCGTTCAGCCCAGGTCCCTTCAGCGTCTCGGGTCCTGCAGGCACAAAAGCACAGCGGCAGCAGAGTGGAGGCCAACAGCAAAGCTGCACCGACATTTCATCCACTAAACACGAGCACCGCTGCTTTCACACACTTACCAGCGAGGCCGAGGTTTTACACTCGGCCGCCGTCTGGATTACGCCTCGCGGTGCTCAACCCGGGACAATGAGTCTCTTGCGGTGCCACGGACCCTGGAGGCAGAGCACAACCACACAGAGAACGCCAATACACCCCACAGTATCCCCCCGCCAAAGGCTACTACATGAACACCACTACTCAATGTGTTGAGGTACTTACACGCGAAGGCAGAGCGTCCTCTGCCTCCTGCGGTAGTTCGGCTTCGTGGTGTTCCCTGGGGACTCGTGAGGCGATGGCGATCATTGTGATCCGGGTCGTGGTTCCGGTGCCGTGCTGTCCCGTGTCCTGCTCTCCGTATCCCTGTGTCCTCCCTTTCTGCTCCCAGTCCGCCCTTATGTGCCCATGCTCACTCAGTTGCAGGTGCGCTGATTGAGCTGTGAGTGCAGGCATTGGCTGGGGCTCATGTGGCTCGGGGCAGCAAGGCATAACGTGAAATAAATAACACTCATAAAACCAAATAAAACAGTCCATGCAACAAATAAAACCACACAATAAAAGTCCACACTAAAAATATAAAACGTGCCTGCTTACATGATGACCAGCTGTGGGGCGTGCAGTTCTCCTAATACTTGTATCGACAGATCTAATAGCTGAAGATTGTCCAGGTGAAGATGGTCTCTATTTGGCCGAGGGTCCAGCAACCGGCTCTTCCAACTCCCATACAGGTGCAGAACCCAACTGCGAAGGACCCGGCCCAACAGAGCCACCCGGTCCAGGCCCCGAAACGGACAGTGGTCCAGGTGCCACGTAACACAAGTCCTCATCCCCAGATGATTCGCCGCCCGACCGGCGATTGCTGACCGCTGATTGGCGTGGAACACTCTCGAAAGGATTCGCTCCAACCCAAGCCTTAACCAAAGAACGGTGAACTCTCTTGACCTTCGTCTGGTCATCCACTGGAGCAATGGCGTATACTGCTCCACCATCCCTTGGCGCTTGCAGAACTGATGACCAAAGGTCCTGGATTTTGCAACGACCCCTCACACCGGTGTTGCGAACCAGGACCATTCCTCCTTCCGGCAGGGGTTCATCACGTACTGCCTGATCGTGTGGTACTTTACGACGCTCTGCCGCAAGCCTTAACCGTTCCTTAGCTCCCTCGAAAGCTAGTTGCAGACGGGTTTGATGTTCCAAAATCCACTCGTGGGGATCACCATCAAAAGGATCTTCGACATGGCCTAACAAGAAGTCGACTGGTAGCCTTGGTTCTCGACCAAACATTAAGTAGAATGGAGATTCCCCTATGGATTAGTGAGGCGTGTGGTGTTGTACGCGTAAAGTACTTGGGGCAGACAAGAGCACCAGTCATGCTTTCTTGATGGAGGTAAAGTGCGAAGGAGGTTGTGCAGGGTGCGATTGAATCCTTCGCAATGCCCGTTTCCTGCTGGATGGTAAGGTGTCGTTCGAGATTTGGTGATACCATACAGCCGGCAGAGTTGCTGCATCAGAAGGCTCTCGAAGCTACATCCCTTGTCTGAATGAATTCGAGATGGTACGCTGAATTTGGAGAACCAGTCAGTGGCCAAAGTGTATTTACTAAACACCTCTGTAATGACAAGCACGTTCTCAAGCCCTCTCCGGGACTGTTCCAACAGAGTGAAGTCGAGAGCAATCATTTAATTTGGCCTGGAGGCCAGAAGATGGTCCATGAAAGTACGAGCGGGGGGACGGGAGTCCTTGGCAATTTGACAACGTTCGCATTGCCCGCACCACTGTCTAACGCCCTTGGCCATTCCTGGCCAGTAACACCGTGAACGTAGAAGGGCCAGGGTTCTCTCAACCCCCTGATGCCTGTGATGTTGATGTACTTGAGTCAAAACCTCATCAATCATGGCTGTGGGCAAGAGCAATTGGAACACTGCCTCACCACCGTCAGGACGGTAAGATTTCCGATACAACAAATTGTTTCTCTCGACCAACCGATCCCACTGTGGGAGAAGAACCAAGGCAGCAGGTGAAAGGACTTTCTTCTCATCTATGCTAGGCAGTCAATGTTGCCTCAAAAGGCAGCTACCTCTTGAATTAACGGGTCTGAATCCTGGAGGGCTTTGATTAGGCAAGGCAAACATCACGGTCTGAGTCACCTCAACCATTTGCAAAGGTGCAGATTGCTGCAATGAAAGTGGAACCAACGAGCCAGAGGCCAAAGCAGCCAGGTCCTGCGAGCTGGGATCCTTCTGACGTGACAGTGCGTCCGCATTCCCATTGCTTTTGCCCGACCTATATCTCAACTCCAAATCAAATGACGCTAGTTGTGCAGCCCAGCGCTGCTTGATGGTGCCAAGCTTTGCGGTCAACAAATGACTCAATGGATTATTATCCATTGAGTCTGGGTTCACCACAGACTTGAGGCTGCAGTTTTTGCTGAGTTTCACCATTTACTACAGGATCTGTGTACGGATGAGTTTCGCTTTCAGCGGTACTTCCGCATGTTACTCGCCCAGTTTGGGTAACCGCACCCCGCCTCGCCCCCACCTGGAGCTTGCCTTGCTCCCGCCTGGAGCTCGCCTTGCTCCCGCCTGGAGCTCGCATCGTTCGCCTTGCTCCCGTTCCCGTTTGGGCTCGCCTCGCTCACGCAGAGGAGCGCCTGTCTATCAGACTGCTGTCCAGCAGTCTGCTGTGTCTGAGCCAGACTCATCGTCAGCTCAACTTTTTCTTCACAGAATGTTTACATATATTTTGTTACTTATTAAGAATGTTACTACTCATTCAAATAATATTACTAATAATAAAACAGCAGCAGCAGCTACATGACTTCTTTCCATGACAGCCCTGCTGCTGCTGCTGCTGCTCCTCGTCTCCTGATTGGTTGAAGCCCGGCGTCAACCTTCAAAAGCTCAGCTTTGCTCAACTTCGGCGTCAAAGGATTTTTTGACGCCGAAAGAGACGCGAGCGTTACACGCGTCAAAAGCTTCAAGTGAGGCTATTTTGAGGCTGAAGCCCGGCCTGACACGCTTCACCATTCACTTTCAATGCAAACCTGACGCTTTTGAAGTTGAAGTTAAGTCCGGTGTGAAAGCACTTTTACACTTAAAAGGGAACTATCCTTATTTAAAAAAAAATGTATATGTAAAACACATTACAAACATGCGTTTCCCACCACAGCAATGTGTTTTTATGCCATAGATAGTTAATAAATCAGTAAAATAAGTTTTCAATATGAACGCCTCTGATTGGTCAGAACATTGCTGACGTAGTTGTAAGGGTCGAAGCTCTCCATTTAGTGTTTACGACTGTGCTTCTGCTGCGACACAGATAAGACTGTAAAGATAAAAGAACAAGAATTTCCTTAAAATGGGTGTATTTTCCATGCCCCCGGGATGCAGCAATGAAAGTTACCGAAAGAAGAGTGTAAACAGTAGTCCCTACGATCTTTGGTTTATTCAGACAAGGTGACGGTCCAAACAAAGTGTTTGAGTTTCAACTCAGTATTCAGCAGAAAGAACTAAGACTGAACTAAGACCATGAATCCATGTTTCACTCCAACTATGTTTAGTAAAAGATATAGATATGACACATGCCATCATGTTTTAGACTTTAGAACCACAGACACACGTTTAGTATAAGACTTTAGAACCACAGACACACGTTTAGTATAAGACTTTAGAACCACAGACACACGTTTAGTATAAGACTTTAGAACCACAGACACACGTTTAGTATAAGACTTTAGAACCACAGACACACGTTTAGTATAAGACTTTAGAACCACAGACACACGTTTAGTATAAGACTTTAGAACCACAGACACACGTTTAGTATAAGACTTTAGAACCACGGACACAGGTTCAGAATAAGACCAGATATGTTTGCATTTGAGTGAAGACACTCACCATTTCTCTCAAACTCAACATCTGGAGCTGGGACATAGAGTTGAGGCTTCTCTCTCGGTGTTGCGGGTATACATAGATACGATCACGTGACTAACATCCGGGCACGGCGCGAAGTGTCCGCCATATTGGATGGGTATTCGTCACATGTTTACATTGCTCTGCTCCAGTTACTTCGTGCTATTTCAATTGTTAAATTGAAATAGCACGGGGTGGAGTTAAGCACGCGGCTTCAGCGTGCTTAACTCCACCCAATAGTTTAAAATCGGAATATATCTTCAAGGCCTAACCATTATTCTGTGTATAATGCAGTACTTATTAGCATGTGGTTTAATTAATTGTATTTTTTGCTTTTTTCAGGTTATGCATTCTCAAAGGCTGAGCGACACTCCACTTGTCCCATGGATCATCATTCAACCAGATGGAAAGATTCTCGCTGCCCATTGTAACTGCATGGCTGGTTTGGGAGAGGCGTGTACACACATTGCTGCTCTACTATTCAGCATTGAGGCGTCGGTAAAAGTTCGAGAAGCCAAAACTGTTACTGGAGAGAAATCATACTGGCTGCCCCCAAGTGTGAAGGGGGTCAGTTATAAGAAATTAAAGGACATTGACTTTACATCGGCAAAAGCGAGAAAGAAGAAGTTAGATGTCAGTTTATCTGGAAATGAGCTTCTGGGGCGTGAAGTCTTGGACCCGAAGCCCGTAGAGCCTCCAACAGAAACTGAGTTCGCACATTTTTTACAAAGTTTGAATGCTTCTGGTACAAAGTAGTAAGTAAGTAAGTAAGTAAGTTTTTATTTATATACCGCCTTTTCACTGCAGATCTGAGTCTCAAAGCGGTTTACAATTGTTAATTTTGGGCATTTGTCTCTCACTCCACACAGAGATGGGAGCGTACACGCAAAGTACAGGAGGCGCATGCCAGAACTATTGTACATATTTTTAGTGGTAGGGGAAACCGGAGTACCCGGAGGAAACCTACGCAGACACGGGGAGAACATGCAAACTCCACTCAGAAAGGCCCTGGTCCGACCGGGATTCGAACCCAGGACCTTCTTGCTGAGAGGCGAGAGTGCTATCCACTCAGCCACCGTGCCGCCCAAAGTCTGCATTACTTAGTGTCTGTGCACCATATCAGGCAGACTTTAAACCAAAGCCTTTAAATGACAGGTTTCCAAAGATACTGACAGATTTTGTTGACCGGACATTGTTGGAAGCAAGCTTTGGTGACATTTTGAAGAAGTGTGACTCTCCCGAAGTGACAGTTACATGTACCCAGGAAGAAGCAGATGCTGTAGAGGCCGCAACAAAAGACCAGTCCGCCAGTAAAATGTGGCACAGATTCAGGAGTGGGCGCGTCACAGCGTCAAAAATGAGGGCGGTGTGCCACAGCAATCCTTCTGCTCCTTCTGTGAGTCTTGTGACATCAATTTGTTACTCAGAGGAGTCCACTTTTAAAACTGCTGCTACGTCATGGGGATGCCAACACGAAAAAACTGCTCTCGACTCTTATCAACAGACAATGAACGGCTTACATGAGAACTTCACACTTGAAAGATCAGGCCTTCTCATCAATCCTGATTACCCCTTCGTTGGAGCTACATCTGATGGATTAGTGTCTTGTGATTGTTGCGGAACAGGATTGGTCGAGATAAAGTGCCCGTACTGTGTTCAACATAAGTCACTGGCCGAGTACACAGGCCCTAATTCTTGTCTTGAGGACATTGGAGATGGACAGACACTTAAACGTGATCATGCCTACTATTATCAGGTACAAACGCACATATTTGTGGCAAAGGCTGAATTCTGTGACTTTGTTGTCTGGACAGAAAAAGACTTTATGATAGAAAGGGTTGAACCAGAGGAGAACTTTTGGACTGAAATTTTATCAAAGGCAGAACAATTCCACACCTTGGCAGTCATGCCCGAGC